AGTGTTTGCTATAAAGTCGAGTGCCTTCAATAATTAGCACCAAGCGTAAAGCAAGAAATGTGCACCGATCGTTTCATATTCTATCTCGATTGTGCTTGCACAACTCCAGAATAGAAGCTTTCCTTGACGTAACAAAGTCTGTGCAAGATTCTGAAGGTATCAGAACGAAAGCACCGAATCTACTGACATACAATTGAGATGGTATATGCTATTGGCTTGACGTTGGAAACATCAAAATTCCTTTTTATCAAGGGACCTCCTCATAATAGAAAATAAATATTAATTAAAAAACATAAGAAAAGATCAAGCATAGCTAGATTATTTGTTGTGAGAGCATAGACGTTCCTTTCGTTCCCCTTAAGTCCGTCCTTCGTTCTCCTTGAGTCTGCCGACTGTTGGCAGATCAACGAAGACTATCGCGGTGAGGAAGTCTGCCGACTGTTGGCAGATCAACGAAGATTATCGCGGTGAGGAAGTCTGCCGACTGTTGACAGATCAACGAAGACTATCGCGATTGCTGGCAGATCAACGAAGACTATCGCGATGAGGAAGTCTACCGACTGTTGGCAGATCAACGAAGACTATCACGGTGAGGAAGATGAGGATTGGCCTTGGTCGCTGGCCGAAGGCAAGAGCGAAGCCTTCGCCCTTGTTTTTCTCAACAGCGTTGGTTGCTGGTCGAAGGCAAGAGCGAAGCTTCGTTTTTTTCACTGCTCTGATACCATGATGAAAATAATAGAAGATAATAAAACTTAAATACATTAACATGTCCCTCTCCTATTTATACATATTAGGAGGAAGGATTTCCCTCAACAGAATAGAGGATTTTCCTCAACAAAATAACACGGTAAATTAAAAGATGAAAGAAAAATGGTTTCAAATAACTCAATATTTTCCAAGGTGTTATGCTTTATAGATCAATTCGGAAGATTTGGTACAAACAACTTTCATAGACCCAATTCGATAAGAATATGTACTTTTGTCATGCATATCCATTCATTCGTGCTCTTATAGTTTAGTCTCTAATATATATAATGAATCATACTAGCTTGAAGTGGCAATGATCTTTGTCCAACCGCAGATATACTGCATCACTATATCTCCCCTTAATCAAAATAACATATAGAATTGTTAAGATAGATAGATTTTGATTATCTAACACGTTAATGTGGTTTGAATCTAATCTACCACGTTAAACGATCCTGTAAACCTATACTAAGGATGTGCTCGAGAAAAAACTCTTTGATATCTAATAAATTTAGAAGATTCAGTGTCGGATAATAATGCATCCGAAGAAATCTCACTTTCTTTCTTTTGAGGTTTTCTCTTTGACATTACTCGGCAAATGCATCCTTGTAATCGTACCAACCACCCTATAGATCCTTGACCTTCGATTTGTCTGTGGTGCTGTCTAAACCTATGTCATAGACAAATTCAAAAGAAAGGATTTGGTTGACTCCTTGCTTTCTACTCGAGGTGGACAATTAGAATCCAACCCATCATGACTAATAATAGCTCGAATTGTGTGACTTTTTATCAACCATTATGTGGATCTTATTTGATGAAAAGAGACATTTCAGCTGCTCAATGATAACTACAAGTAAATTTTCGCAGCAGGAGGACCACTTAAAGAACTTATTGATGCCAAGTATTGAGCGAAAAGGACCAGTCAAGCAAATTAAGAACATTGAAGTGCAGTAGTTTACTCTTTTGCCTCGGAAGACAACTTTCTCCATCGTTTGACATACAAATATTCCATGTTATCCTTTGGTGCTCCTCTCACACTGCTTGGTTTTTAGATGTTGGATTCTCTCACAAAGATTACTACTCAAACTGTGTCTACAGCTCATTTGGATCTACAATCTTAAAGTGAGGTCCTATTTCATAGGACGAAAGCTACTAAAAGAACCAACCACTCTGTCGGCAATACTGATTGGTTTTCCTTACAGGAAGAAGACATGATCTGACTTTGTCTTGTAGTTCATGCTAAATGGAACTTCTCTTCCAGATCTGCAGTTGAAATTGCTCATTAAAGGTAGGATATCATGGTTCTTCCCATGAGGATCCAAGCCCGGGTCTACAGCGACAGAAACATAGTGCAACTCTATAGTGGGACTCGTACATCTCCATTGATGAAACGACTGCAGCCACTTAAAACTCCGCAAGTACGACAGGTCGATGAGCTGCTTGTGATGAAGACTCCATGATGGGCGAGGAATGGGTTGGTGGGTTCACGTCTCATCGATCCCTCGTTGCCGCCAAGGACATGCCATTGGGAAGCGTCCTCAGCTTCTACCCACCCTCCCAACATCATCACGTGCTTCTGTGTGCAGACACACCTCAAGCAAATTGACTCACTCCATAGAAAAACTCCCATGTAAACCGGTGTTTCTCTTGATCACCATGGTGGTGTTACTCACCGCTGTTTACTTGGTGATAGGAATCCGACTGATTCATCAAACATCACCCACATCACTCGCTAAAGCTTGCATCACTCTCTTGACAGCTCTTTGGGTTTTTCTTATATGATTTCTGAATCTTTGACTCGGTCAAATAATTATGAAGCCAGTGCCACTGCCTGCATGCCTTCCATTCTATTGTCTATTTGCGGTGTCCCACCGGCTAATTTATTCCTGTGCCTCGTGATGCTTGCCGCCCCTGTCACATGCGTTTACAGACCCACTCGATACTGAGCTGTGCTGGAAAAGCCGGTCGGGTTGATGAATTAGGCTCTTCATCCATCATCTCTCCACATGGAAGATGGCTACCGAGTTAGGTGCACGTCGCTTTAGCCATGTCAGTGGGAAGTTACCCATGATGCTTGCGTTGGAAACCCTACCTGCTCACCATTATATATGGCACCGGAGGGCTGGTCGTGGAGTCATCATCATTTCCTCATCTATCCTTGGTGATCCTTCTGCCAGTATGGAAGCAGCTGCCGATGATAAGTTGTGGGATGATGAGGGCTTGGATGTGCTGACAGAGCTCGATGGCGCCCTTCTCATGGAGCTGTTGGATGAGCAACGTGGAGAAGACGGCGATGACGACAATAAGCTCGGGTTAGTAGCCGAGATCTCGGCCGCCGGCCCGGTAATGGGTAGCAGCGGTGAGGACATGCTGCTGGAGTCAGTCCGTCACCAGGAGGAGTTCGAAGACTGCAGACTGGACGACGTTCTCTCAGGTCTCGGGAGCCATGGCTTCTGGGCGGCGACTGAGTCGGCGGCCATCGAAGCTCCATGCAGTGACATGGTTGATTGGTATTTGGACGAGTACATCGATGAGCAGGTTGGGATGGTGGGTTATGGCGAAGCAAGAGATCACCCTACTTTGTACTACAGTGGGGATACCTCCGTAGAGCAATACACTTCCTTGTGGGAATAAATGCTCATCGCTATAAGTATCTCACTTACACCTCCACAGAGAAAAACACTTGTGGAAATAAATATTAATATTAGTTTTATATATCCTTATAAAGTTTCAAAACAAAAGATTTGACGTTGTAAAGTTGGAATATATATATATATATATATCCTCTGCACTGCAAACCATAAATTTAGTACATCTAATTGTTTTTGTATCATATTAATGTATTATAAGCATTGATATAAATTAGAATTACAATGAATAATAAGTAAGATCGAATGCAACAATGACCTATATGCAAATTTTTAGGTTGTGCAAAGATGCGTAGATGCTGCTAAACTTAAATTTAATCAAATAGTTACGAAGATCACAGACTTTGAAGATACATATTTTTATACAAAGTCAAAATATTTGTTTGACTAATTTAGAGCGAATCACACCCATTGTTATTCAAATAGTCAACGGGTTTGGTATTTTAACAAAAGAATAAAATATTAGAAAGTAATAAATATGAATCCGCAGACACGAGCGGCAGATCTTATCTCACCGCACCAATCTCATAACGATGGAAATGGGTGATGTTATTATTATTATTATGGGAAGGAGTGCATTTCCATTAATTTTAGAGATGATTCCTTTTCTATCAGCATTAATCAAATTGTAATCAGCAGTAGCGGACTATAATGTTTTAACTGTTGATGGACCGGCCTGTCATTATCATATAACAGTGGCTATTAATGGGCCGGCCCGTATCAGCCATGAAAATTCTTCTGATTTTATATGTGAAAATATAGATGATAACTCAGACGAGCTTTTAATTTATTTTTATTCAGTAAGAAATTTAATTTAATTTTTTTTTATTTCGGAGTCTTTATTTTAGTGTTGATTCTCTCAATTATTATTATTTTTTGGTATGAAGATTTTGCCACTTACAAATGAAAAGGTGTCATAATTCTCTTTTTTCTTGTGCTTACTTTATACATCTTCTCAGTAAAACAAGCCTCCAACTTTGCTGCATTTGTATCTAAAAGAAGGGTTGCTTTCTGCATCCAGATTACGTGCATTAAAACAATGGGAAGTGTCTAATGGTGCGAGGAATCCTTCCTTCTTCCCTGGCAAGTGCAGCCAGCTAAGAAGATCCATGTTCTGTTCCCCAAAATGCACATGCAGCAAGGTGAGGCCACAGTTCCATGCAATAACAAAGTCCAAATGGAAAGGGCATGTCATGGATAGATAGATTGGAATCTCTTAGTGCATTCCACATGAAGCCTATGAGGAGGAGGTTCGTTTGGTGTGCACAAATTTTGAATTTTTTTTGTTCTTCTTAACCTGTGAATATCAACTTTGTGTATGTTTTTCTTGATTATAAATATTTGATATAGCTAGATTATAGAACTAGTGATGTATATATATATCTGTCTATCTCATGATGTTTTACTCTCCTTCTCAGAATTTACAGAGGAAAAAATAATGAGCTTTTGAAGATGATGGAGGCAAGCAGCGGCCCAACAAAGTTTTCATCAATAATTATTGATGGAGGTGAACAAATAAGAGAAAGAAACAAAGTTCATACACTTATTTGTTTGGCTCGGTTTGTCACTTCATTATCTGGATATCATCAGCAGATTCAGCAATCGAAAGCGTAAACAACAGCTTACATTCACAACATGGAATTAGCTTATCAACAATGTTCAATTATACATCAAATGCTTCACAGGCCTCCACACTTGCAGCTTCAACATCCAAAGGCTTTCATTGTTTTAACTTTCATCCTGTTTTTGTTCTTTGAATCGAATGAAATGCACCAAAAGAAAGAAAGAAAAAGATCCTGCAGAACCACCAAAATCAACGAGGCTTTTTCTTCTGGGGCTCCAAATCGATGAACACTACCAGGATCACTGCAGTGAATGGACGAGCATTCTCCTGCTGCCATGCATGATGGCCTGCGCTGCATCAGCTAAGCAGCTCTTTTTCTGTGCTCACGGCTGGTTCCGATGTGGGCGGTGCCATTTTCTTTAGGTTTTGCTGGTGATAGACTTGTCTGAGTCTCTCGATCTCCTTCTTTAGTGCCTCCTGGTGTGCTACAGCATCACGTAAAACCTCATCCACTTGAGAACATTATGAATGCAAACCAACAACAGCTTTACAATGGTTAAGGCTTTTTAGTAGCTTTCCTTGTGTTACAGTTAATATAATCACCTAGGGTTAGGGTTACATTTAATATAATTACCAAGTGGAAACATGTATGCAGTCTGATCTTGAAGTTTACGCTATAAACAATTTGAATGGTAGATCCACCGTCATTGTAACGTTCACCATATATTCTTCTTTGTAGAACAACAAGCACAGAAGCAGCTGTGCGTAAATAGGCTTAATTCTCATCATATTAATGTCCAAGGATAAGCAAGAGCTTACCGTCCTTAAATATCTTGTCCTGCGCCAATGCCGCAATGCGTTGCTTCAGGTGGCTATTGCCCAACGTCAGCAGCGATCGCTGGTGATCGAGGAAGGCGACTCGAGGAGACAATGCCGATACTTCGGTCTTCGTTTTGGCACCGCCGGATCGAGTATACGAACAAAATGGTTAGAAGAGAAAAACCTAGAATTGCTCCAGCTTCCTCACATTCTTGTTTTGAACAGAGGATTCTGAGAACGAAGGTTACCTGCAGCGTCGTCACGCTGCGTTCGAGCTCCGAAATGTACTGAAGCTTCCTCACCCGCGACCTCTGCGCCGATTGCCGGTTCGCTAAGATCCTAATGTGATGCAAATAATGCAGCGGCAATGCGTCAGAAATGGAATGGCCACAACGAGCTGCATGCGTTGGTGTACGTAATGTTTACCTCTTCACCCTCTTGGGATCCACGATTGTCTCCGTCCCGGTGGCCGGCTGAGCCACCGCCTGCGGCTCCTCCTTGCACGCGCTCTGCGCCTCCTCCGACTCGTTCTTGGCCTTCTGGTCGGTCGGCTTGTCCTCGTTGAAGCTGTTGTGGTCCGAGGGCGTGGACGACGAGGAGGCCGGGACGGCGCCCGAGAGGGACGACGGGGGCACGTCGTCCGAGAACATGGACATGAGCTGGTCGTCGTCGAAGCGGTCGAAGTCGGAGCCCTCGCCCTCGAGTGGGTGCTCGAGGAAGGCGATGGAGTCGCTGACGGAGCGGCGGTGGTTGCCGCGCTTGGCGGAGGAGAAGTCGAGGAACTCGTCGACCCAGGAGGGTTGAGAGCCCGGGGCGAGCGGCGGCGCGATCGGAAGGAAGGATGGAGGGATCGCATGGTGGCCAAGGTTGGGCCAGTTTGGAGACATGTTGCTAGGGATCTTCGGAGGTAGCTGTGCCATTGCTCTTCTCTCTTCTCCCTGTGTTTATATCTCTCTCTCTCTCTCGTTACAGAGAGAGCTGAGAACGAACGCTACGCAATGTTGTTGGCTACATGATGTAACAACAGCATCTTGCATTTCTAGTTGATGATTGAACTTATCCTTGAGACATTTAGAGTCTCTCTCTCTCTCTCTCTCTCTCTCTCTCTCTCTCTCTGGAGTTTGCGATACGGAGTTGGAGGTGTTGGTGGCAGGTTAAGTTAGCTTTGCTGGGGGAAGGAGGAGAGGATTTAGAGGAGAGAGTCACATGACAAGGGAAAGAAGGAGGAGGACAGCTAGCACCAGCTGTTATAGAGAGAGAGAGAGAGAGAGAGAGAGAGAGAGAGAGAGAGAGAGAGGGAGAGAGGGAGGGGAAGACAGAAAGATGAGTAGAGGCGAGGCGGAAATGGAGGGGAGTTGGAGAGATCAACGGTATTGCAGGGAAGTCGCAGCATTCAGCGACCACGTGCCGATGTGACCGTACCTTTTGGCCGTCAGAAACCAAATCCTCCTATAGACATCTTTACAGTTTTGGTGATGGCGTCCGATAGTTTACAAGCTCATTGGGATCCGAGAGAGAAAGGTGACGGACAAAAAGTAATCCTTGATGATACGCAAATGCCTAATGGGACGAGTTCACTCGCCACCCTTCATCAAGTTCATCGGTAACGAGATTGTATTGTGATGAAATAGCGAAAAAGTACAACACCATTTGTTCGTTCCGACGTCTTCTCATTTTTGGTAGATGTCTGATAGAGTGCATCTTGAATGATCCATAAGCTACTTGGACATGGCAGTAAAAGGGAAGAGAGTGATTTACCATAGTTGTTGGTTGGGTAAACTGCAACCAATGATTAAAGATGGCATCCATCTGGGGAACTGTATCGAAACCAGCGTAAACATCTGATGCCGAATTCACCCAACAATCATGTCTTTGTTCCGTATCTACAATGCTTTGGATCTACAATGCCACGTTCTGATAGGCGCAGGAATCCCGCCATTGATGTTCTTCTTCTGTTGATGTTGGGAGTAGATAAATGAGTGCGCAAATGTAAGTTATTGGAGTGGGGGATGAGCTGTTCAAGAGGTGGAAATGAAGAGGAGCGCAGGTGCATGTGGTAGTCGTAGAATCGCATCATGCCTTCCCATGTGCACAGTTTGCCTTGCTGCTGCATGATGCCCTCCTCAAATGTGCTTTTCTTGCCCAAGAAATGCGTCTCTCACATGCACCACGCCTTGGATCTCTGTCTGTTTCTTCATTCTTCTTCTTCTTCTTCTTCCATTTCCGCTCTATTCTCCCACTCATCTCGGTGGGTTTCTTGGCAACTTCGGGCTATCTTGTTGGCCATCTACGGCTGTTCTCGGGATTAACAGTGTTTTGCGCTGTCGTGGGAGAGTGGTTGTGGTGTGCACCTTGCCGCTAGTTTTATAGTAGCCCGGAATAATTGGCAGTACGACCATACCAGAAAGAGAGAACAAAAGCTCAGAACTGCAAAAGAGAGAAAGGCAGTGCATCCCTCTGGATATTCTAAGATTTGGAGAATACAATATACTCGTAAACCATTCTGATGGTACAATATGTGGTCAGAGAGGCATGTGTGATGAACTAGCATTGCCAGTATCGTTCAACCTGGTATCACGGAGAAGCTTAGATACACAAGTTGAAGAATCAAACCTACCCAGTGATCGATCAAGAGAACCGAGTCTTCTTGTTCTTCCGCCTTACGAACAAAAAGAGATTAAATGTGAGAAAGGTGGCTGCAAGGATGGCCACGAGAAATGGTGTGTGTGTGGGAGCAGCAGCACAAGAGACCAAAGGGGGGGGGACATGTACACCTTGCTACATCTAAATGTCTTCCCACGTCACACGTGAAAAAGTGAAAGGGCAAAAAGCAAAGGAAGGATACTGGTTCTGAGCGGGATGAACATGGCGGTGTCGGAAGCACTGTTTGGGGTCCCGTTCCATTCTTATGGACAGACACTTCGATGCATGATGTTGTTCATCTCGCTCTGCGTTCTCTCTGGAATGAGCACGGAGCACCCTCTAACAAGCATTAGAGATTGTTATCGATCACTCGTATCACCTACTTCATTAGCGTTCTATTATATTGTCTTACGGTCGACCATCTTCTCGTACAAGGGGAATTAACTTACTTTGGATCGATGTGGGGTCCGGTGAACACAAAATTGGTAATGGCTGGGCGCGTGGGTGGGGGCCCCAAAGGAAAAGGACAGCATCGATGACAGCTTGCGAATAGGTTATCAGAAAAGATTCGGCCTTTTTTGCATACTGCACATGTAAATAGCAGCCACCACAGGATCCAGCTGTTCGCCGAACTGCACCATCTTGTGGTGGTGGCACCAGATGTCGACCTCTTACAAGCTGACACTTCTTAGAACGAATATATGTGATATTTTCTTGTCACTGCCATTTCACTCTTATAATGAATCAAACTTAAACTTAATATATGACATTTTAAAAAATATTTAGTTATAATCTAAGCTCAGAAATAAATCATACAGGAGTATATTTTAAAATTAAAAACTCATATGATAACTTACGATCTTTTAGATCTCTGATTTCTGATCTTCTTTTGACTCTATCTCATATCTTCTTGATTCTAAAATATTAATGATCATTTTACTAATAGAAAAATAAATTCAAGACTTTGAATCCATAGAAACTCCAATCTCAACTAAAAATCCTGAATCAAAACAATATCTAATAAAAAAAGTTTGATTTAATATTCAAAATAGAAGATAACACCAAATGTTTTATCTACGATCAATTCAAACGGGCCTAAAACAGGTGGTCAGCCACTTGTTGCTCACAATCGGCCCATTATTAGCCCTTTCAAATCTAGAGGATGGCTTCAGTGCGTCGGATATAGAATAATGCTTCATCTCTCAGCTTGATTCGTTACCTAATTCCCGACTTGTATATAGAGTCTTAGATTCTGGTAGGACAAGGTGGCATGCATCAAGAAGCGTGCTGCCTGATTCCACCTTATCTCTCTCTAAACGCAATTGGCTACGTAGGGGAGTTGGCGTGTTTCATGGCAACGGAATCTGAACTCCACATCAACTTGTGTTAGATTAAGATTACTCAATTTCGGATCTAATACAACGTGATCCGACAAGGCGACATTCAAATTGATTCGATAAAATGTAGGAAATATAGCATACGTCCCATAAATTGTACTTACAGTTGCATCTTTACATAAGATGTGTTGAACACGAATAACCTGACTCGATTTCCTTGATGTGATCCTTCTCATCGTTAATCTAATCAACCAGTTAGGTTGGGTCGAAACTGGAGTTGGTTGGGTTTCGATCTGATCCAACCTACTCTAGTTGATGGCATGAGCAATAATGTGTCTGCGACATAGACAATACACATGGTATTAATTATACCTAAACTATGACAACACAAAAGAATCGAGAGCCGTGGGTTGGCTGTCATCCAATCAATATCAGCGTACATACAGCTGGCTCGATGTATTAACTCTCAACCTCACTGTTGTTAAAGCAATTGGAAATATACGCAATCACAAGGAGTCCGAAACCAGCACGGCAAAGTCCACCTTACAACTAAGCCATGTGAGTTAACTATAGAAAAGGTAACGAAGTGGCGAACTCTCTCTCTCTCTCTAACTCTATATCTCTAGCTCTCTCTCCCTCCCACAACGGGCCCCACACACTTCCGTGGGAGGCCCCATCTATTAGTCCTATTGACTAACGAGGAACTCTGCAGTCGTCGATATGTGCCTCACCACAACAACAATCTGCTGTTCGAGGGTGGTTGCAATATGTTCATGAGTCAGCAACTCCAGTAAAGAAAGAGAGAAATGTAATCCAACAAGTATGGAGTAAATGCATTGTGCATGTGAAACAAGTAACATATGAGGTTTTCACTGTCTCTCCATGTCTTCCAACCCTTCCCCTTGAGCCCTCCTCGCTGTTGACCTTTCCCAGCTCAACATCATCCTAAACGACGAACTCAGTCGCGAGGATGCCGAGACCGAGTCCTTCCGTCCCGACGGTGTGCTTTCCTGAGACGCCGGAGCTGCCCCCGACGGGTCCTGCGTATCTCTTGCAGGTGGCACGGTGGATGCCTCGTCGACATCGACTGTGGTGTTCGGTGGATGATCCACGGCCGTCCGACACACTGGGCATGTGGAGTGGGAGCCCAGCCACATGTCGACGCAGCCGACATGGAACAGGTGCTTGCAGCTGGGCAGCGCTCTCACCGTCTCCCCTTCCTCCACTGCGCTCAGGCAAATGGCGCACTCCGCCCGTCGCCCTTCGTCTTGGCAGCCGCCACGCTCGCCCGCCATTCGATAAGGATGCGTCGGGAGGGCGGAGATGGCAGTGGAATCGAGCCCCTCGTTGCCGGGCTCGTCGTTAGCGGGGTTATTCACGTAGAAGCGGAGGGAGTGGCTGGTGGTGAGGCCACCGGACCGGCGCCGATTTAGGAGGAAGTGGCGGACGTAGAGGTGGAGGAAGACCATGACGACTAGGGCGGCAGCTAAGCAGATGACGGCCGTCTTCAGGATCCTCGTGTTCAGGTCGTAGCTGTTGTTGCTTTCGTCGTAGACAAGCCACCCGTCGGATGGAACGTTAGTAGACATGGCGGCGCTTCCTGGTGGCTGTGGCGGGTGCGGGAGCGCCCAACTCGTCCCTCTCCTCCGGTGTACGCCTGTCTCCTTGCAGCAGTTCGATCTTAAACGCTAAATGTGGACTAGACTTTGCTAATTCTACCATAACAAAAGTACTACAAAAAAGAGAAGTTTAGTTGACTAACTAATCCATCAAATTTCTCTCTTTAAAAGGGGAACTATGATTGCTTTCTTTCGATAACTCTGACCAATTCTAATCTTTCGCATCAGTGGAGGTGAGACATCCGCAAATGGTGCAACTCTTTAAAGGGGCATATGCATCCGTGGAGCGACAGTGACACGCCGGTCTTAGCTTCTAAGAAAAACAAACAATTAACAAAACAATATCGTCAGTCTTGGACCCTTTTCGTCCTTTTCGATTATATATATATATATATATATATAATGGTATATCTAATTATTATGTTTTCAAAGGTTCATATAACAAAACACATACAATAATAGACCATTATAAGGTGATTTGGTACATGTAAAAATGGGGAGTTCCACAAGTTGGTCTTCTGAGGAAACGGTACCCTTTCATTCAATCCACTGTGTTACAGCAGCGTTATAGGCAAAGAATCATAGGTGGGCCTGATTGAAACTTCGTGGGCCCAACACGATCTCTCGGCTCAGCGTCCCGAAACAGATCAGACAGTCCAGAACGAAGGACAATTCTTCTCTCGTAGAATTATGTGGCATATTTGTATTCTCCGGTTAGCTCGACGCCCGTAACCGAAACACGGGACTTTTCCCCCCTCTCTCCTTAGCCTATAAATAGGACGGGAGGGCAGCTAATTGAGAAAGTTATCTTTTCTTTCGGCCGTCTCCATGGCTTCCAGTGAAGTGGAACGAACAGCGAAGAGAAGGCTACGGTCTCAGGTTCGCCATTCCCTCTTTCTCTCTTTCTTCTCCCTCATCAGATCTCTGGAGAAGTCTCTGTGTTTTTTTGGCGATCTTTGATGGAGATCGGATGGATCGTGATCGAAACCCTATTTTCCTCATCTTCAAAGTAGAAGATACCAGTAATGCCGCGTTTCGTATTCTATTTGACATGGATCGAGAATGATATGGCAGAGGATCGTAGGACGTTATGGGCCGAACTGGATTTGTATGAACTTGAGGAATTTTGTTCTTTGTTTCTCCCGGTGGCATTTGGTTCGTGACGCCCCAGACACGTTTAATGTGCTCTATGATTTGATATGTTTATGTTCCTTTCTCAGAATCCCTTTGCCATTGTTAAATTGATCCGAGTAGCTAAGTGTTAGTTACATTTTCTGACATTGTTAAATTATCAGTTTTCTCGGTTGATATACTTCAGGAAAGCCTTAGATCTAATTTGGTTCTCAGATACCCTGTTTTCTTTATGTTGATTGTAGTTTGCAGTAAACGCCCATACAGAGAAAACATTTGTTCACAGAGAAAAAGTTATCGTAAGTAACCCATTAAATTTGTCGGATAGCTAGAAATCAATCTGAAGGAAGACTGCAAAATGCAGGAACTGAGATCCATATATCAATTAGCTAGCTCCCTAACCTGAAAAATTCAAAACAGTCCTTTTGGAGGCCAATATTGTATTCCCCTCTGTTTAGTCTTATAATGAAAGTTGGGAATTAATAAATTAAATTATAAGAGCTTGATGGATGTATTACTATTAACTTAGGCTTAAGTATCTATCTCTAGTTTCACCATATTATCTTATGTGGGTTTTAATCTTCTTAGGTTGCACTGTGATTAATGTGACTGAAATAAATTGGCATTCTTTTGAAAGTCCGCTAGTTTTACGAAGTATGATTTGTCGTGTCATGTATTCGTTCGTTACTGATTATTTTTTGTATGTTTCTGAGAACCCAAATAATGTGTTTCAGGCTTTTTAAAGCTCTACTGTCTTCTTTCAGCAGCCAGTGACAGATCCAAAGGATGCCAATTCGTTAAAATATGTACTTCACTAAAAGGAAGGTTAGTTGATAATACTGAAACTTTTTTTTGTTTTTAATGATGATAAACGTGTTGCCATTACATCATGTAAATACTTAAGATTTATATAGTTGATCTTAAATAGTTGTGACTCATGGTCTTATTATTGTTGTAGATGTTGAAATAGTATAAATACTTAGATATTTGAATTCTTAATTTTTAGATTTCTTTTCGTTGTATTTGTGTAAGAATGCAGAAGATATTAAGTCTAATTTACGATTTGATTGACCATATTATCCAAAATTATATTCTTAGGTTCAATGTGTTAAAAATTTGGAAGATACTGAGCTAGAAAACGTGGACTTTGAATTGCATAGGAAATCATGGAAATGTAGAGAAAACTGAAGCCCAAACAAGGTAACCTCATGATACAAGTATAGATACTACTGCAAAAGGTTCTTGCATGGTTTCTTACTAGTCGATAATCAATTGCTTCATATACACATATTAGCACCTGAAAAATTAAAAATTTCTGTTTTACTTTTGGCATTTGATGATTGCATTAAACAAAAAATTTTGGACCCCGTTTATTCGAAGCCTTTCGATCGACTGCACATTTATTGTTTATTCACTTATTTCTCACGTCATTTCTCTTTAGAGATTTTAGTTAACTGCAACTCCCCCATTCTTATATTAGCAGTTGATTGATTATCATTATGTCGGTAAACTTCTTATTTTTCTCTGCACAACTGATTAGTGTACCTCTGATTGATGCATGGTTTATTATCATGCTCTCTATGAAAAATGTGTTTGGTCCTTTTTTTTTATTTTTTTGCAGTCTTCGTGGTTGTGTATATGCACTTAATTTAGTAGTAGGATTACAGGACACTGAGTGTATTCATTAAATAGTTGGTGAGGATCTTTAAGCACTTTAACGAATTCTGAACAGAGTCTTAATAGGATTAGAGAGAAAAAAAGGGGCAACTTTGCAACAGATGTATCTTATTATGAATATATGTTTATACCTCCTGTCTCATTTATTGGGTTTAAATTTTAGATGGATTGAGGACGATCAATAATTTAACATACTAGTAAATTAGAAGGGTTGTGTTCAAATCTCACAATGCACTTTAAAATTAAGTATAGGGGCATAAATGAACAAGTTTTTATCTAATTTAATATTTTAGATGAATTGAAAATAATAAATAATTTGGCATGTCTGTTCAAATCTCAACCTTAATATTTTAGATGATCAAGGCCCATGTAAATTATGTGCTCTAAGGCTAGGTTTAGTTTACCCACCAGAATGATGCTCAGCTTTGGTGTATATTCAGGTTGAGGTATTAAGGTTATCACAATAAGATACATGCTCCGTCATCGAAGACATGAGACAGATTATGAAGGTAAATAAGTTTACAATAGGAATATTTACTGAATGCCTTATAAATTCTAAAAAAACTGTTGTAAATGGTCTCTTCAAAATAGCTCAATTTCCTGAGAAAAAAAAAATCATATTTTGGGTTCCTTTGGCATGGTGCCACTGTTTTCGTATAGAACTCCTATATTTTTAAATACCAAAAATGCCCTTTTGAAAAGAAAAAAAACTATTTTTTTTCACGTCCAAACCTAGTCAGTTGAAATGATCAAGAATGAACCAAACCGATTGCAGTATATTTAGTATATTTAAATGGAGTTGCAATGTCTTAGTTGATTGGATTGATTATCATGTTTTGGTTGGTGAAAAGAAAATTGAAGAATACTACAATCAAAATTCAATTACCTTAAATCCTCGTCAATCTTAATTATTAATCTTATCATATATTTTTGAGATTTATACAATAATTTGTTTTTGAATTTTTTAATGCTTTACAATGAAAATTAATATTATTATAATATATTTCATAATAATTGATAAATCCTCATTCTTTCCACGTAGTTCTAAATTCAAGCATATATTGTGATTTTATTTATTATAAAAACAATAACATTAGAGTGTGAGATACTACCTATTTATGACGTTGAACCTGTATACTTTTTGTCACTGCACTAAAATATTGTAACCATATTTAAAAAAATACTGTGATCAAGTTTTGATTAATGTAAATCTCCGTCAACTTTAATTAGTGGTTTTAGATGAAAATTAAGATTTTGATATATTTCAAAAGAAATGAGGATAAAAATTCTGGCCTTCTCTCACATATCTTTAAATTTAGATCTATATATTTATAACCAATTATTATGAAAGAATAAAAATAAATAAGGGCAAAGCATTGTCTAATTATAATTTTTTTATTAATAAACAAAATCATTATAATTATATTCAATAACAATATCTTAGATGAGTCTTAGTTAGTTTACATCCCCATAAATCTTAATTATTAACCTTAATATAAGTTTTAAGATTTGATAAAATAATTTCTATTAGAGTCTTAGTGGTTTTGATGGAAATAATGAAAGTTTTGACATATTTTTAAAAATAAAAATGATGTTTTCTCACATAGTTTTAAATTTAAATTTAAAATTTAAAATATTATAATATTTGTATTGATTCATTGTGTATAAATAATAATAATAATAATAATAATAAAAGATAAGTTACATTTTTGTTAATATTGAACTAAAACATTATAGCTCCATTTGGATTTGAGTGGGAAAATAAGTTTTTAATAGATAGTCATTTTGAATATTTAAAGAAGGTAGGATTTTTTTGCGGGAAATTTGAAAATAAGAGCACGATTCTGAAAAGTCCAAATTGTCGAGCTTTTTCCCGGGAAAGTCTAAGGTGGCATAAAGTCATAGATGGTCATTTACAACGGTCCATTTCAAAAAAAAAAAAACATGAAGTGGTCAATTAAAATTCTTAAAGGAGCGCGATGGAGTGTGGTGGGAAACTTTTTATCACTTTTAATTCGACGTCACGAAGCAAAATTTTTTAGCGCCTGGTGGCGGGAGCGGGTAGCTGGACCTACGAGGGAAGGCGGTTGAATCTGGAACACCTTATTGAAACATCTTTCGTAACCGCAGTTGCTTAAGCGGGACACATCGGAATTCGAAATTCCACTCTCATGCATTCCAGTTTCAATGAATCGGACCTGTGAATTCTTTGGCTTCCTTCCCGGCAAGAAAACAAAATGCAAGCTCCCCTTCGTTTCCCTCTTCTCTCCCGAACCCCCTTCATAAGTACACCCCCCCACCCTCCCCACCCCCACCTCCTCCTCCTCCTCCTCGTCCCTCTCCCCACCCATCCGTTATCTCATCCATCTCTGTGCCCCTTGGCAATGACCTGCGACT